TTGTTAGGCCTGAAAGGAAATTTTGATGATGTCTTTTCGGGCTAGTTGACTCGTTTTAAGCAGCGACATGGAATTCGAGAAATTGGACTTCATGGGAGAAACTTAGTGGTGACCAGCACTAAGTTTCTCTCATGAAGTCCAATTTCTCGAATTCCGTGTCGCTGTTTAAAAGTTAGCAAGCAGCCGATGATTTCCACCATGAATTTGAAGAATTTGTTTTAAAAAAAGAGCTATCTTTTGATCAAATTTAAAATGCCAACGAATCGGGACTTTTGTCGAAATCTTCCCAATCGCACTTTAGCATTTGAAAATGAAAGTAAAGCGGCGGGTTATAAAAGCAGCAAAGAATAGATCACTATCATGTCTTGCAGTAAGGCTACCGGTGGACATAAACTTAGACTTGTTGTCATTGGAAAGTTAAAAAAAAAAAAAAAGAGATCTTTCAAAGGCACAAGGATAGAAAATTTACCCATTGATTTACTTTAACCAAAAAAAAAAAAAAAAAAAAAAAAAAAAAAAAAAGGGGGGGATGGATGAACGACAACATTTTTCAAGAATGGTTCGAAAAAATCTTTTTTCTTCAAGTGCGTAAACATCTTAAATCGAAAAACCTGCCTGAAAAAGCTGTGCTATTGATCGACAACACACCTTCTCAGTCAGCAACAAGCATGTTAAAGTCTTCTGATGGACAAATTTTTGCAAAGTTTCTCCCCCCCCAAACATTACTGAGCTAATCCCAACCCATGGAACAAGTAGTCATTGCAACAATGAAGAGAACATACAGAACCAAGCTGCTAATGACCAAAATTGAAGAAGGTTATGATCTGAAAGAGTTTTGGAAACACTACACAATCTTCGACAGCATCTACGATATTGCATCTGCATACACTCAGTGAAACCGTCAACCCTCATAAATCATGGAGAAAACTCATGCCTAATGTTGAAGCCAACAAACAACCTAACCCCTTTGAGTTGTGAAAGAAGAGAATGAAGATGTAGACACGCCCACGCAACTTTGCCGATATGGTGAAAACAGTTCCGGGTGGTGAGAACGTCGATGCTGAAAACATTAACGAGTGGTTGGAGTGTGACGTCAACGAACCTGACTTCGAACGCTTGACAGATGACGAAATTGTGAAGAAAGCAAGGGGAGAGACCGAGAATGAAGGAAGAATGAAGTGAAGGCGAAGAAGAAGCCCACTGTGCAGATGCGGAAGACTCACGAAGCGGCTTTGCACCAAGTCTACGGATTACTGAGCTATTTGGAAGAACAAGACGACGCGGAGTTGGCCGAGAAACTTATGCTACGAAAAATGCAATCTCGGATCAAGAGAAAATGCTTCCAAAGCACAGAAGCAAACACAAATGACTGATTTCTTCAAAAAGGTGTAGTTTTACAGTTATGCGCTTTGTAATTACATAATACATTACAGTATTAAAACAGTACATATGTTTAAATTTTTCTGTGTATCCTTGACGCCTCTCGTAAGTACAAAACACTTTTCTGTTTTTCATTAACAAAAATGCATTTTAGGTTAGTTTTGAGTGATATACTAAAATATTAAGCGTTAGTTAAACATTTCCCGCTGTTTATTTTACGTTTTATTCTATATAAAACGATTTTTCAAAGTTGGAATGACTGTTTTCTCTTTTGCTATACCCGTTTTTAGCTTTTTTCGGATTATCCGCGATTTTTGTCATCCGCGGCGGCCGCGCCACCCTTTTTCAAGGATAATCGGGAGTGTACTGTATTTCTATAATCTGCGGGAAAGTGGGGAAAACGACTGCTTACCAGAAGAAATTTAACCTTTTGGATGAATTCTTGGTAGTGCTAATACAGCAACATCAGTAATGACTGCGGAAACATTTACTAATAATCCGTGAGTTTTGTATTCATTTAGCAACGTTCAGGAAATTATAGCATTCCCGCTTGAGCCAGTCAGCAGTTACGACGTCTTAGTCACGTGGTGATGAGGGGGGAGGGACAAAATAGCAAAAACTGTTCGCCAATCGTAGGATGTAAAAAAACAAAAGTTGTGCTATGTACATGGACCTTATAAGACATAAATTAACCCAGTGGGCGGGGGCGCGCGTCACCGAACAGTCGGCAAGAAAGAGTAGGGACGATCTGGTTTACTTTAACACTGAAACCTATGGCGTTTGTATCACATAACTCTTTTTAATTATTAAATGTAATACGTTGTATAGTGATGAGATTATGAAAGCCACAGTGTTTTCCAAATAGGATTTAATATATCTCATTAAAGCACTTTTTACTGCATTTCGCGCATTTTTTCACGCGTAATTCTTGTACAAACATCTTTACTTTGGTAAAACGGTAAAAACTCTAGCCACAAAATTTATGAACTTAATTTTGCGTACAAATAACGTAAAATTAAATAAGATTGATAATACGTGATGCTTTGAAATAAATAAGGTAAAATTAAACAGGACCTGATAACTTTTTTTTAAAAAATTTAATGACCATTTTCAGGCAGTGATTTTCAAAACTATAATAACATTACAAAACAATAATTTATTTGATTATACCATCATTAAATTATTAACAATAAAGTGGAATATTTATTTTAGTCATTTATAAAATTCGGAGCATACAATTTTCTGAGTGTAATGAAGGGAAAAAAAAAAAAAAAAAAAAAAAAGGTAAAATAAAATCTAGAAGCACTCAGATTTTATATTACGCCCAAAAGGAACACTTTTTTTAACATTTTGTGTGTTACCTGTATTTATTGAATATCATGTTCTTCACCCGTAAATCACATACATTTGAAAACAGCATATCTTTAGAATTTCTGCACTGGAGATAAAACTGTTATTTTCCGTACAGTGCTCTCTCTGAACTCGTTGAATTTGTTAATAAAAATTCGTTAAAGTTTTACGAAATATGAAATAGATTAAAACAAATTCGAAATTCAGCCGTAAAGATGCCCATGTTAGGGTGGAGGATTACGTTATTCAAAATTTGATGGCTCTAGATACTGTCGTTTTTGTCACAGGGCGAGAAACATACATGTATTCATGCAGATTCTTCATTATTTAATTTCTTTAAATAAAATACAGGGCGATAATATTTGGTAACAACAATTTGCAAGGAGACACGGACATTTATAGTAAAACAGCTCAAAATGCCGCTTCAAAACTAATAGCCTTTCTACGCTACCGCCCCTTTAAGCTAATAAATTAAATTAACAGTAAATAAAAAAAAAATCTTATGCAGAGCTAAAAATAAATTTAAAAAGTAATCGCTATAAAATACAAGCAAAATTAATTATTAAGGTTAAAAACACTTTTAATATTAGAATTAAATGTATAAAAATTATCAAGGAGTCAAAAGTGTTTATAACCATGATGTATTATGAAATATAATTGAAATAAAATTCCTTTATAGAAATTGTGCTGTAATATTCATCTATATTTTTAAAAAAGCAGCACAATTTAGAATTTTAAACAAAACTTTCAAAAATTCGTTTTTAAATATTTTAGTATTTTTTACTAATTTACACCAATAAAAAGGATAAAAAATGAAAATTGCTTGTTTGAAATTTTCTATTAGTTCAGATTTAAAATATTGTTTTCTAAAAGAAGTAGTTACAAATTTCCTTACAGCATAGGAAAAGCTAAAAAAATATCCAGCCCTGAAAGCATGCAATAGCTTTATAATTATTTGGAACGTTAATTATGCTTGATAAATATGCTAAATTTTTAAAAATCAATCTCAATTTCAAAAATAAAAATATGGAGAAATTCTAATTTGTGAAATGAGGCGCTACAACCAGCTTTTTCTTGACAATTATACACGCTGCAATAGGCAACCACTGTTAAATTTCTGCAAGTCGTCCCTACTCCTTCGGATTTGATCAAGGTGACAGCCGGGAATGCCTCAGACGAGAGAGAAAACCCATTTGGGTTAGTGTATTTCTTATAAGGTCCATGACTGTGTAGCGATGAACGATGGCTTCGAAACATATATGTGTGGTCGGCTGCTGTGGCAGCGTTAAATATTACAAACATTTGTGAAATGAAGATTATGTATTCATTAACCTCTAAATGCTTTCAGCTGAGTTAACTCGAGTACGCCGAACTAATACCCGCAGCCGAGAAAATAAATTCAAGAATTTTTTTTTTTTTTTTTTTTTTTCAGATATGAATCTAACGGAATATGTTCGCTACAATTTTGAGTTAGAAAAACAAGGAAAGAGGATAAGAAAGAAATAAAATAAAGAAAGAGGCTAAAATATGTTGATTTAAAATAAAGAACAATAATAATAGTAATAAGCTGGCGAAATTAGGCCACTCTCTGAATTTTTATTGGTGCTTTAAGACGTTAAATGGAATTCTTCGTTTTACTGGTGCCTAGGTGATTAATTACCCCATTTGAAATTTAGGTCATAGATACCATGGAAAAAAGAAATGTATTGAGTCTGGTGTGTCCGGTTGGTATTGTTATATATTCTTCTTCAGTTTGAAAAATTGGCTTTTAATTACACTATCTTATTTTCCAGAGCCATAAAACTGCTATCACATGATGCAATCAAACGTATAACCGTATTTCTGACACATCTTCGATATAAATGTATTAAAATACGTAATTGATATTATTCAGTTATTTTCAACTGGATTTTATTATGTTATTGAGGATGGGTGATAAGGATAAGTTATTCCTATAATTTCCCCTTTTACATAACTGCTTATTGAGTACTACAAGAAAAGCAGAAATATTTCAAAAACATTTTATTGTTTCTGATTCAAGTGAACGAGAATGAAACTAATTTCCTTCTTGTTTTATTTAATGGGGAATAATAAACATTACCAGGCTTTAATACGTAAATTCAAGTGATGCTTTAATTAAGCAGTAGTAAACCTTTAAATACTTTCTGATGTTCGAAATCAAATATTTATGCAATGGAATACCTGCAGGGAAGGGAGTAATTAATCCTGTGTGTTTTCCCATTGTAAAGATAAGTCATTTCTCTTTTCAGATTGGGATGATTCCTGCTTTTATCCTCCGGATAACAAGTTGACCTTGGACGTAGAAGCTTTTCGACAAGACATGGTATCAGCTCACAACAGATATCGCCAGTTACACGACAGCCCTCCGCTTACGACTTTACCGGAGCTAGAAGACGGTGCGCAGATCTGGGCCGAGACCATCGCTGCCAAAGGACACCTAGAGTACTGTGAACGTTTACTTAGTAAGTGGAGAAATGAAATGAAGTACCGTACTTCTGAAATGAACTACATTGTTATGATTAAATTTAAAAGCCAATTAATCATCTGCAATTATCTAGCCTTTTACATGGTTTTAAATAGTGTGACGTGTGGTTCAAAAATAGGAGTAGTAACCGCGCCAATAAACATTAAGCCTATTGATATGTAGTATGTTTGATTTGAGACTTTATAAGACTAGTCACATAAAAAAACCGTTACGTAATATTTACATGCTTTCTCATGAATAGAAATCTTATGTTGTAAATATTGAGCTGTTGGTAATCTCCTTTGAAGTGTTATTATAGAAATGCCTTATATACGTTTAAGAAAAAAATATTTATTGCAAATTTTACGTTTCTTAAAATTTCATTGCTCTGTCACATTATACTAAATCATTCAGTAATTAATGTAGAAAAGTTGTTGATTTCCAATGTGTTAAAATATATATTCTCTTAACCTTATAATAATGATTTCCTCCTTGAATGTATAGAATATTGCACATTTTTTTTTTTTTTTTTTTTTTTTTTCTCTAAGTAATGCATCATAACAAATACTATGCTATTTTTGCTAAGAACTTGCACTGTATGCGCGACTGGGAATACTTAGTTACTAAAGATACATAATCCGAGTGTAAAATAAATACGAAAATTAATTAGTAAAGTTCTGGGATCAGGAAACGCATTCAATATTACATCTTTTTGCAAAAACTGCCAATACATAATCATTTCCAGTTATTTTATTTTAGCATAAGAAGCGATTTTCTAAACAAGTTCAACTTTCTTAAAAGAAAGCATATTGATGGCGTTTTGTTCTATTTGGAACTTAAAATAATTTAATTGCGTATTACAATCGATCTCTATAACTAAATTCAATGGACCGGGAATCTGGTTCGTTATATTCACTGGCTCGCTACATCCGATCCAATAAGAAAAATTGATTATCTCATAAAAACACGCAAAAATTAATGGCTGAATAAAGAAAAATACTGATTAACATTGTTATATATATCAAAAGAAATTAATAACAAACCTATTTAAAAATCATATTAAGATTTAATTGCTATTATTATTACGCGCAGTTATTAAATTTGTTGTTCTTTCTATTCAATTCTCTCTGGAGTCTGGTATGTCCATCGGCCTTTGTTTGAAACATTTATCCAGAAACTGGCGTGATAGCTTCTTTAAATGGCTAGCCATTTCAAAAATGCTTCCCTTCTGTATCCCTAAACTATATCTTTTGCCCTTTCCAAATTTTTTCCTCTTTTCCAAATTTTTTCTGTGTCCAGAAATGATCGAACCTCAGTTTTTCCGTATGGTACTAAAGATTTAGATGCACTGTATCCATGGAAGACATCGATTTGGCTATATCCATTGTGTATTTTTTTAATACTGTTCGCTTTACCTTCAGTGAAAAAGCCTTAAGTTTGCAGTTTGCTATGTGGAGGATTTCTGCTACAAAAGCAGAGTGCACAGAGTTTGGCCAAAAATACACGTATGTGAGGATTTTGCTGTTCTCGAAAAGATGAAAAAGAGTGATAGTAGCTTCCTCTAGTGTCTTATCTTCTATCTATTCACAGTAGATCATTTCCCCCAAGATACGTATGGTTTTAATACAAAAATTCAATAACCTCTATAAAGAAGACCTTAGGTCTTGCAAAAGAACTAAAGTATCCAAAACCCCTATTCGGAGAACAGAACTCGGAGAGGGTTTAAACTTAACCAAAACGAACCGATAAACCTCAAAATGTTTCATTTCCTAAAAGAAAAATCAATTTTAAACCATAAGCTTATAAGATTCACTACTGTCTCTTTACCTGAAAAAATTTCAAAATTTCGATCATAGCATCAGCCTTGAATAGAATTCTATTTGGCAGCCCAGTCAAAGGAATCAGAGAATTCATTGACTTCTTTTCGGTTCAATGGTTATTTACACCATATGGTGTCTTAGGATATGCTTATTCTGTTCTCGTTCTCCTAGAGCTGAATGCCATACATGTCTGTTAGAGCCATTGTTTATTACACAGAGAAAAGTGGGGGTAAGAGAAAAATAATATAAAGATCTTTTCCTTTATGGAAAGAGTAGGTTATATAACTTGAATACAGCAAACCCACGAGGGCTACCTGTTTAAAAGAAGAAATACTTTAATGGAAGACTTTCTGAGAAGCGGTTCGTATTCGGGTTACTTGTACAGACATTACGTTACTTCGAAGCAACAGGCGCGAAAAATGAGCAATGCCCTCACCAGGACTCGAACCCCTAACCTCTCGAATACGCACCGAACGTGCTGATCACTACACTACGCAGGCACGCTAAGAAGGTGGGGGGAAATGCCTTATATACTTCCACTTTTAAAAGGCTACTGGGAATTAGGGGATCCAGTCGCCAAATCCTGGCTGTGGAAAATCATCATACACCACCTTTTTTAAGTCCGGGCGCCACTGTAGAGACATTATTTCCCCCCCCCCAACGGTTTTGACTCAGGAGAATTCCTCCGAAGTACTGGCTAGGATATCTACTTAGGCAGTCTCAGCCATGGGGGCACATAATTTGACTTCACAAGACTAGAGCCCTAGTTCAGTCTAAGGCGGATTCAGGCTTGGCAGGGACCGTACTGGTACTGTCGTATCTGTTCCGTCGGTTGTGGTGGAGCTAGATGGGAGATCGTCGACTAAATCCCCGGGGGTTTGACTCCATTCAATTCTCGTGGAGGGGACTGACAGAGTGGTCAGAACTCACTTTACGACGTACGCTGCCGATGGAGTGGTGCCCGGAGGAAAAATAATTAAGTAAAATCATATCTACGATTTGTTCTGCCCAATGCTGTGTACAAAGCCGAGGGGAGACTGCGGGTGTAGCGCCCTCGAGTATGAGGCCCCCAGGACCATAGATATACAAGTCCGCATGGGTCCGCAAGTCGGACCTGGATCGGAGGTCTATGTTTATTTGCTACGTCTGTAGAGACATTATGATTTTTTGGAAATTAGGAGAGGTGAAAAATGAGCAACGCCCTCGCCGGTACTCGAACCGCGGACTTCACAAATAGGCGCCGAGCGTGCTGACCACTACACCACGAAGGCGTGCCAAGAAGGCGGGAGAAATACCTTATATACTAATGGGAAAAATCACGAAATTAAACCACACAGGCAGTCTGTTCACCTATAATCGAACCCAAACTAGACTGAACTACCAATATTAAAAAGACCTAACCATTCAGCAACTATGGGTTTTTACTGAAGGACTGTGCATTTTAATTTACTAAATGTGAATTTTAACAGTTAGTCATTTTTTGTTAAAACTTGCTGAAATTTGTAAAGCAAAACATAAAAAATACAAAATAAAGTTTCAATCGAAGATATCTAAAAAGTTCGTTGTATTCGATTTTCATATTTTTGGAGGTTCGCTCGAACAATATAGAATTATGTTAAGTCTATAGGAAACTAGATAGAACAAAAAGGTTCGTTTGTTATATATGGGGGTTTGTTATAGAGGAGTTTGACTATGTTAGCTTTATTTGTTTACTACACAAAAGCGATTCCTGTTTAAAACATACAGGAGATACAGTAGAACATCGGATCTTGAATGCCTCACTTCATGGTCCCAAATGGTTCACTGCGGTTCCCAAAGGCTTCAGATTTCGAAGGATGTCTCGAGTTGGGAAAGCAAGTCAGCAGCATATGATTTTCAAAACTGATTTGAGATAGTCTGCGTCATTTAATTAGTGTTCAGGGGCTCCTGAAAACATCGTAATATTTTACATTGCTTGACTATCGTTAACGAAGCCTGGAAGTAAGTGACATACAGAACCACGAATTCGATCTGGAATTAATTATAGTGATATTGAGCTGTAGGCACAAACGTCGAGCGCTTTGACACTTAGGTCATTTTTGTTATCTTATAAACAAAACCATGACCAGGAAATCACTATTAAAGACATTGAGAAATTACTAGAGGATAATAAAAATAAGCTCGATAAGAAAGGACTACAACAACTTCCAAAATAGCTATGAAAAGCGATTGTGGAAGAAATGTCTTCAGAAGAAGAAGGGGGAAATGATCGTAATTCTTTGATTCGGGAAATTTTTACAAAGTGGGATAAGAAGCAAATTTTTCTAGTGACAATAGCACCAGAAGAAAACAGTAACGAGCTACAGCCTAAGTATTTTTGACGACAGTGCTATGTCTCAAACATTTTTAAACGCAGCCAATGAGAAACCACATTGGATAATTTTTCATCTCTCCTGCTTTCAAAAAATACCTAATGTCTCTACAAAATTTTGAGCGAAACACGGGCCCAGTGTGTCTCAAGAAGAGTGGAGTTTAAAGATAATGGGAAGATAAAAGAATGCAGGTTCTAAAGAAACTTTGTTTTCCTTTGGAAGCAAATTTCGCATCCCCCCCCCGAAAAAAAAAAGAGGCAACATATTCCTCATCATTTCCTATTAATGCTGACCACTCTCCTTCTTAGAAATAAGTAAAATTAAATTGCGTTTTCCTCTTTTCTATTTATTTAACGTAGTTTTAATCTTTTTTGCTTTATTTTATTGACTTCCATTGATTTTGGGATATAAACCTGCGCATTTTGGTTTATAAGCGTGTACTGTTGTGAAGTGTAATAAGCGATCATCTGTGGTCCGAAAATGAATTAATTCATTTTAAATTAATTCCTATAGGGAAAATTATTTCTGTTGATGAACATTTCGGTTGAATGAGGGTTTTCAGGAATGAATTGAATTTGTGAATCGAGGTTTCACTGTACTTGATTTCTGAATGTTCTAGGGATCGATGATACTAGAAATGAAGTATTGCCATGGATAAACAGCATATAATACAGACAAATTAGTTTTGTTATATATGGCTGTAAAACTTACATAAAATCAACCTATATAACAATACAGATTTAAATCCATGTAATGGATATAAAATATGACTATAGAATTTTACTGTGAACAAATACAATTGTGAAATTTTAATGAAAAGCTTGAAT